CACGGTTACGACAGCAACGCCGCGATTAATTATAACATCACGATGCGGATGCTTGGTCGTCACGGTTACGACAGCAACGCCGCGATTAATTATAACATCACGATGCGGATGCTTGGTCGTCACGGTTACGACAGCAACGCCGCGATTAATTATAACATCACGATGCGGATGCTGGGTCGTCACGGTTACGACGGCGCGATTAACATCACGATGCGGATGCTAGGTCGTCACGGTTACGACAGCAACGCCGCGATTAATTATAACATCACGATGCGGATGCTGGGTCGTCACGGTGACGACGGCGCGATTAACATCATGATGCGGATGCTGGGTCGTCACGGTGACGACAGCAACGCCGTGATTAATTATAACATCACGATGCGGATGCTGGGTCGTCACGGTGACGACGGCGCGATTAACATCACAATGCGGATGCTGGGTCGTCACGGTGACGACAGCAATGCCGCGATTAATTATAACATCACGATGCGGATGCTGGGTCGTCATGGTTACGACGGCGCGATTAACATCACAATTCGGATGCTTGGTCGTCACGGTTACGACAGCAACGCCGCGATTAATCATAACATCACGATGCGAATGCTGGGTCGTCATGGTTACGAGTGTTACGGGGGTGTTACCTCACAAAAGTGCAGACCCGAGTCATTGCACAGCGAACATATCGTCGCAAACTCTGTGAGTGCCTCGTAGTCAGCAACATTCACTTGCCGTCCATTCTTCGTTCTACAAAGAGACACAGACACGCCACATGCACGCTAGTAGATTAGCAAATACTGCAAACCGCGTGCGAGTGAGAGAGAGAGAGAGAGAGGGGGAGAGAGGGAAAGGGAAGGGGGAGAGAGAGGAGAGAGAGAGAGAGAGAGAGAGAATTGATGGCGGGCATGACTTCCTTACGCGGCGGATCCAACATTCCGACGACACCGACGAGCGTCATGTTCGTCTGCAACGCAAAGACAACCGGTTACCCATGCGATCGCCACTGCTCAGTCTAGAGCTAAACCTACCCTCAATGACTTCCGCTACCTGCTGCGATTAAGGGTCCACGCTCCCGATTGAATCAGCAACAGACAACTGATGCTTTCTGAGCTTTAAAATCGAAGCTTGAACTAAAAATTAATCATTTTTCAAATTTACAGCAATTCCAGCTACACCACCTACCCCCGATACGCAATCCCACCCCATGCTCGCCCGCTCCCAGGCAGATGCCCCTGATGCTTTCCGAGCTTTTATATCGAAGCTTAAACTATGATAGTGTCAATGACACTGTAGCTCACCTTTGGTTTGATAAACGAGGGAGGGGGAGATATATAAAGCAAGAGTATATATGGGAGAACTCCCATTGTATAGCATATCTCCCATTATATACTCTTGATAATGATATATGCATAAATTTGATGCGAAAATAAATGTTTCAATCTGAAATCTGGACGAGAGATGGCGCTACGCCTAAATGATCGCCATTTTGGTTTTCGAAGTTGGATGGGTCCTGCAGCTTCATTATCACCTCCCCCTCCCCCCCTACACCCCCTCCCTCCCCGCCCCACCCCCACGCACCTCGTACTGCACGAAGTTGGCTGGGTCCTGCAGCTTCATGGACTCGGGCTTGGCGGGGTTGTCGACGGTGGCGAGAGCGAGGCAGCGCAGAGTGTCGCGGCCAGTGCCGTACTCCGTCGCCAGCTTCATGACCTTCGCGCGGATCGTGTCCGTGAACGGCACACGGTTGTTGCCGATGCGGATGAACGAGCAGCGGTCGAGGATTCCCTCGGTGGCGCCCTACGGTGGCCGAGAAAAAAAAAAACGAACGGTTAGCGTGGGGAGGGTTGGGGGTCGGCGAGTGTCATTCTCATTAAGTGTGAAATTGGTTTCACTGTTGTTCTGTACTATTGTTCTATTATAATCTCACTGTCGTCCTATCTACCGGGTCACGTTGCCACGTCTCGCCGTGTCTCGTCGTGTTATCGTGTTTTGTCTCGCACCGCCGTGTATCGTCTCGTCACGCTCGGCCGCGCACCGTGTCTCATCCAGTCGCGCCTGCATCTAGCTATGTCTCACGTCGCGTCTTGCACTGTCTCATGTAATATCTCAGGTGCTGTCTGACGTCAGTGTCTTGTGCCGTGTCACATTCCGTCTCGAGTCGTGTCTTGTGCCGTGTCTCGCGCCGTGTCACATTCCATCTCGAGTCGTGTCTCGTCACGTGTCTCGCGCCGTGTCACATTCCATCTCGAGTCGTGTCTCGAGTCGTGTCTCGCGCCGTGTCACATTCCGTCTCGAGTCGTGTCTCGCGCCGTGTCTCGCACCGTGTCACATTCCATCTCGAGTCGTGTCTCGTCCCGTGTCTCGCGTCGTGTCACATTCCGTCTCAAGTCGTGTCTCGTCACGTGTCTC